GCAATTCTGTGAGCATATGCCTTGTGATGGCGCTTATGTTGTTTGGAGTCGGTTGGCACCGGAGGTGTTGCGGCCAGCCCGTCCCACTGAGCATATGCCTTTGTGTTGCTTTGTGGTTTGTTGGCTGGTAGCGACTGCCAGGTGGGGCTGGTGACCTTTCTGCAGCCATTTAGGGACCTCATTTGGAACTTGGAACTCCAGGAACAGCCATGGATGAGGTTTGAGCGATGAACATACCCCCCCAGATATAAGTCAAGGTTGGTTCCACCAGTGAGAAGGGTACTTGCGTAGGACCTCAGAGTCATATTGTTCACTTCCCGCAGGGTTTCCTTCATGTTCCTCTTAATCAGCGAAACGCATGTTGCTTTTTTGCAGGTCTAGGCATCAAGTTTAGTTGGGGCGGGGGGGGAGGGGTCGTTTGGCGTGGGAAGCTGCTCCAGCGCGTTGCAGGTCAAGGCGGTGAAGGCCAAGGCATCGCATGACATCGGGGGTTCTGGGCAAGAATTCAGCAGCCAACTTTTGTGAAAGGCAGTGGCCAAGAATCACAAGAGGGCATCAAAGACACTGGATTGGCCCGCTCGGTTATGGGCCTTGCGGATTGAACCTTGAGCTTTGGGCCATTGCGGGACTTCCGCCTGAGAAGTGCTTGAGTCATACCAATGCGCTTCCCCTTTCCGCATGGTCGTACTCCTTGAGTTGGCACACTTTAAGCCATATATTTGTGATTGCCTTGACCATTCGGAAGGTTCACCTGAGCAAGCCAACTTGGCAGGTCGTGGCTTAGACCTTGCCGGTGCGAGAGGGCTAACAAAGACGGGTTCCCAAATCCGGTCCCTCTTTTGCCCCCGAACTCTTGGGTGGGTCTTCACTTCTCGGGCGACCTGACTCGCTGACAGCCCCCCGCCCCCCAAACCAGCGCGAAACATTGGCCCAGCTTCCATCAGGAGGTCGAGGAAGAGACCCTGGTGGAGGTGCGAGTCTTCCGGGCCGGGATGTCGATTTCGAGTTTTTGCCTTGCGGTGTTTGTTTCGGGCATGTTTTCTGTGCAGAAATCGCGACCTCGCACGGGGGGCTTTGGTTTGCGAGCGAACTGGCGCCGTGATGACTTGGTCACTTTCATAGGGATCTCCTTGCACTTGAAGCAACCTTGAGGCCATTCTCAGCAGGATCTTTTCCAAGCCAAGTGGAATGCCCAGAAGTCAGAAGCCCCTGAACCCTGAGCCTGGGTAAAGACTCCGAAGCTTTCAGCAGCCGGGGGAAAGGAACCCCACGCCAGGGCCAAGAGAGCCCAAAGAAAAAGCCAGAGGCCATGTCCGCGAGGGGGTTGTGCTCTCCGGTTTTTGGGGAGTTGGTCTTTTTGAGGGTGCCCCCTTTTCCGAAAGCCAAAGGTAGCTAAAGTTGCACAAGTCTAAGCCCAACGACAACCCTCTTTGCACTGATGATACGCGGACTGGATATTTGGGTCTTTGGAGCACCCTGCTTGGCAAGCCTGAAAAGGTCAAGACCTCAGATTTCCATTGGACGAGCTTAATTTGAACGGGGGGGCATGGACCGGGGGCAGAGGGAGCAACACCCGGATTTCTATCATGCGAACTTGATTTTAATGGAAACCAACAGGAGACAAACCCCTATAAAGCTTTATAACAAGCTTTTGGTAAGACTGAGTGTCAATAGGCAGCAGGGTTTGTTCAAGTATTTCATTTTTGCTGGTTGACAACGTGAGAATTGACGTGATGCTTTGCCAATACCCCACCTGGAGAGCAACCGGCGGAAATGGCAGGAATTCAGGGACCAGCTAGTTACATCTGACCCCAAGCCAAGTGCTCGACCTTTTGGTTTCACAGGTGGTGTTTGGTCAAGTCGTCCCGTCAAACGGTTAACAACTGCTTGTTCCCGCTGTAGGGCAGCGAGCTGCGCACAAAGAGGAGCCACACTCACAGCAGCCAAGGCCAAAAAATGAACAGCTCCCTTCATACAAGAACAAGAAACCACCAGGGCTTTCAACAGGTTAGCTTGCGGCATCACGTAACTGACATACACATGATTACACTACCATTGTTATTCTTGGGATTATTACTTTAGGTTCTCACGCCAGAGCTTGACACTTTATGAATCATAAGACGAAAACAAGGTGCAGGATGCTGAACATAAGCTGAATGGACAGCTGATTCACTGCCCCTTAACGTGCTTTGGGCAATTGAGACACAGTTGCTCGAATGAATTTGGAGGTACCTGGGTGTTGATGAGACGTATACTGGAGGTAAGCTGGATGTAAACTGGCCCAATCAGGCTTGCTACTCAATCATGCTTCATCATTTTGCAGCCGTTGGTGCGGTCTGTGGGGGGGGGGGGGGGGCGGCTTCAGGGTGCGTGTGGGCCCCCGGTCAGGTTGCAAGGGAGGCTACACACCTCACACCTCACACCTCACACCTCCCGAGCCCAAGGAGCCCAAAGAGCCGAAAGCCAAGAAGCCCAAGGAGAAGGAGGGCAAGGCAGAGCCCGTCGAATGACACGCCCCATGTCCCATGTTGCCCGTTTTGGGAATCATACTTGCAGACAACCCCTGTTGAGTATCCAAGCGGAAATTCCACAGGTGGATTCGATTTAGGGTAAATCCCACGAGGACTTGAGTGTGGATATGAAACACTTACTAAGCAAGATGGTCATCCAAGTGATGCTTTACATTGGGTAGGCCCACTTTCATGCCACTGTTGATTGTGTAGAAACTGGAAACCTTTTTAGGCCTTGACTAAGAGGAACAACCAGGCCCTCCCCCCAATGCGCCTGTCAAATGGCCCTCAACGCCCCAGGTCACAGACGTTGGGTGGTCCTGGTTCGGATTGGTTGATGTTCTCTTTAAAACAATCATTGTCTTTAAACACTGCAACAGTTTGAAAGATGAGCGTTTTAATTTGCTGGTCATGAAGCAAGTTAAATTGCGCAGTGTGCAAAGACCAACTGGGGTTTGAGCTGGGACGAAATGAGAGGGTCGCGTTCGGAAGCCTTTGTCACCGAAAACACGAGTCCAGCTCAGCTTGTTTTTCCACCGTGTGGAGGATCAAAACGCGAACCCTGTTGGGGAAAATGGTTGAACCCCCGAAAGAAGTACCGGATTCCTTGTCACGGCGTGCCAATCTGTTCCGTTCGAAAAAGACAGCCCGCACCGGTTGTGCTGCGGGCACTTTTGAACGGGCGTTGCTCGGGGTTTGGACTGACCATGATTGGAGAATCGTCAACGCCGCGCGCCCACCTAGGGGCTGAAAAGAACTGCAAGCGCAATGCGGGCTTGAGCGAAAGATGCCGGGGCTGGGCTGAGCAGTCAGCAGTCTGGTGGGCTGGGGAGTGATTGCAAGGAGCTCGACTCGAGCGGCCGGGGGCGAAGTGGACAGGGCGGGCTCCGGGCGGCCGGGGTGGGACCGCAAGGCTGAAGATGTACAGCTGGTCAAGATATCTGATTCCGGTCTCAAGGCAAGCAAGAACTCGGTGCATCTGACCGAAACGGATCGGTGAGGGGTGGAGGCTGGGGACTGATTCTTGGGACACTCAGCCATGGCGGGCTAGAGGGCTGGCTGAGAAGATTGCGCAATGAGTGGGCTGGGTGATGTGGAGCATGAACTGCCTGACATACGCTGCAAGCTTGGCTGAGCTTGGGCTGGGACTGGGGCCTGCCAGCTGCACTGAAGACAACTGGCTGACTTGGGTTGGACTGAGTTTCATTGGGGCTGAGTCCGGGGCCCCACGTGTTGCGTGCAGCATTGCATCTGCATCGTGGCCCGATTGATGCTGTGAAAACAAGTGGGAGGAATTTGTCAGCAGCTGCCACACCCACCCACCCAACCACCACCCAAGCCAAACCTCCGATCCAATCCTCCGATCCGAGACCATCAATGAGAGGGAAGCTGAGACAAAGTTGTTCCCAGAGGTGGCAGCCTTCCTGAAGAAGATCTTAGACGAGGCCGAGGGCAAATCCTTCGACGAGGCGCGCCCTTTGGACGACAGTTTCCTCTGGGGATGTTGAATGAAACGGGAAGTAGGGAACCTGTTTTTTTGTTCTGTCTGGAAAGGCGGCACGTTTACTAGAAGTTGTTGGAACTCTCAAACCAAGAGATGGAACGCAAAAATAGGCAAGATTCCTTGTACACGGGGATTCCAAAGTGGTTGGCTTAGACCCTCCGACATATCCGCCGATTCAAGGGCGTGGACTAGCAAGCAGGGTTCTCCTCTTATGTGAAATGGATACTTGAGATTCGGTGACTTTTGTCATATGTTTCGTCCAATTGAACGATGGTCGGTGGCAAGCAACCCATTTGACCGTAGGGACCCTCCTCCAGTTTAGGCAGATCAGCCTGCTTTGAGGCTAGGGTTGCATGCGTTCCATTTCAGAGGGGCTTGTTTGTTAGTTGTGGGGAAAGACCCCAGTTTGCTTCAGGTTTGTTCCGAGGTCCAAGTTACCCACGGTTGTCCCCGTCTGTTCTGGGTCCTCCAAGGTTCCAAAACGATGCGAGGGTATCTGAGTGACCAAATCCATGGCTCGCCAGGAAGCCAAGCAAATATATAGAGGTTTCCTAAAGGAAAAAAGCAACGCCCTGGCGGGTACAAGGGTCAGGAGGCCTCCACTGACGCAGCAGATGGTCCTCCACGCAGCCCACATCGGCTTGAAGCTCAATACGAAGTGAGCAAGACGGAGAGACGACATAGGCCATGAGTTCCAGTCAATGTCACACTGGATATTGAATTCGTGCACCGGCTTTTCACGGGATTGCAAACGGCAGCAATGGTTTTTGCTCAAATGTCAGACCATTGAACCGTGGATGAACACCCATCTATATGTGTGTGTGTTGCCCCAAAACGGTGGGTTTTGGCTGGTTTCCCCTTCAAACACCAACCAAACGGGGGTCCACTTCTTTTTGTTTGAGAAACTGCAACCCGTTGGAGTTTGAGAAACTTCCAAGTAGCCTCCCCATTTTGCCAGTTTTCTTGTACCACCCAAAGAGCTGTATCTCGCCTGGGGCCGGGGTCCGGTAGCGGTCGGCGCGGTCGGCCGATGCTGGCGCTGCCGCTGGTGGTGCTGGCCCGAGTGCCTTGTGCTTAAACTAGGGGACCCAAAATTTGTAGCCATTGGTTTACACCCCTAGTTAAAGTACCCCAATAAAATCGCTAGTTCCCTCTGGTATTACACCTAACCTCAAAAGACTAAGCCCTCGCTCACATTGTTGCGGTTCCATGAGACACGAAGTGGAGAAAAGGGATCTCATGCCTTGCAAAAAGTTCAGAGATGATCCGCCTCCAACAAATCCGAGAGTCTAATTTCACCAATTTGAATATTGTGTGATTGATTTGGCTGATGTTCATTGGATGGTTGTTGCAATGAACGATGGGCGAGAGGACAATTTGGCTGATGTTCATTGGATGGTTGTGGCAATGAACGAGGGGCGAAGAGGACATAGTGGAAGCGGGATATACTCATAGAGACAAAAGAAGGCACAGAAGTGAGGGGGAAAGGCAATGGAACCATGTGACGGGGAAAGGCAATGGAACCAGTGAAGATGTGGGATGGCAAAACCATTAATCTACGGCTTGATTCCATGCGCTTCAACCCGTCCCTTTTCAAACGTTCTGTTCAACCATCGTTCCTTTTGAACCACCAGCCCTTTGCCTGGGGGCTTCTGGCAGTGGCCTTGGATTTCTGCCGGAGTGGGGAAAGAAACAACCGGCAGGTTTGGGGGGAAGTGGGCGGTCTATACAAAGGGCGGGTGAAGAGACTGCCCAACCTGAACTCCACTCTAGATTAGCCCTATACGGCAAGTGAGGAGGTCTCCGTCTCCCGATAGGGCTTCCTTTGCTGTTCGATTTTCCACCAGGGTCTTCGGTTGCCAAGTGGCACGAACATTGTTTTTTTCCGCAGCCAAGTCTCGGGATGACTTTCGCACATGAGCCTGGCCGTGGATATCTAAAAGCTGGAACCCCGAAAAAGAATATGGTGCCCTGTTTCTAGCTTGATCTTGCGAAGGGAATTGGGTGGTTTTGAGTTTCGGCGAACCCTTTGGTGGGTTTCAAGCTTTGTGGATTGGGTTTGTAGGCCGCCTACTGGTTGAGGGGTCAAGATGAAGTGACAAACTCGTGGAATCAACCTTGGTATCACAGAAATGGGACTCGGCGAAGTTCGGTGCTGACTTTTCGGTTAGGGACATGGACTCAATCATGGAAGTGGACTGGCGGTTTTCCCAAAAGGAATGTAGTCTTCCCAAACACTCCTAGGAGGCTTGTCACAGGCAGGGGGACGAACCCAGCATTGCCTCTGACAGGATGCGCTGCACCGGCGCCCGCGTGCGCCCTTTTGCCACTCGGCACTTTTCGCGAAAAGAGCCGGGGCCCAGCTGAAAGTTTTCAGAGAGGGGACGTATTTTGTTCGTTGGACACTTTTTGCGCGCCCCTTCACGAGGGGGAGCAAAGGGAACTGGAATCGTCCATCATGCAAGCAAAAAGCACACTGGCTGGGCCAAACCAAGAAACTGCTTTTTGGTTCGAATGTCTAGACAAAATGCAAACGAGTTTGGCCACACTCTAGTCTTTGTCTGTGTTACGGGATCTGCCAACAGGTGTTCGCATTTATATGAATTTGACCCTTCAAAGATGACCAGCTGCAAGGCTTGCAAGGGTTAAGCCTGAGTCAAGGGTTTCCTCAGTTTCCTTTTGTGCAGGGCAAAACACCCACCCTAAAGTGCCGATCAGATAGAAACAAACAAACACACAGGCAGATAGACGGACAGACAAACAGTCAAGCAAGCAAGCAATCAAGCAACCAATCAAACAAACAAGCAATCACATAGCAAGCCACAAAAACAATCGCCCCTCTCTCGGATTTGGGCGCACCGGACAACATCGACCAAGGCGCGTGCGAGCCGCAGAGTACATTGCGAGGCGCGTGCCGTCGCTTCGGTCACTTTCGGTTTCGCTTTTTCAGTCGGCGGGCTCAAATTGACTTTGGCGATGGTCTGGGGGTGATCGCTTGGTTAATATCCCTCGTCAGGGTAGAACTAGACGGACGGCCCGGAAGCATACACCTACCAAGTCGAAGACAAAGGGCCCGCTCGCACGCGCGGCCGCAAAGACATGACACGGCATGATCGTGGTGAGGCTTCCTTTGCGCCAGGCTCTCTGTGCAATCCTGGGCAACTTCTTTGCGCATTGTTTCTGCACAAGATGAGGACGCTTTTTCTGTTTCCCTGTGCTTCTATGCGAGTTTGCGCAGGCTCTCTTTGCAAAAAACCACGTGCAAATTCATCTCCGCGAGTGGTCTCTGCGAGAGTTCTCTCTGCAAGTTTCTCTGAGCAAGGTCTCCATGAGAGTTTTTTCCTGCGCAAGTTCTCTGTGCAAGCTTCTCTGTCCAATTTCTCTCTGCAATTCTCTACGTGCAAGTTCTGTCTACAAGCTTCGGGGGTTCAAGATAGCTGGCTCCATATATGTATAGTGTTGTCCCGCGCTAAAAAGTGGAGAGGAATCCGCCGGTCGACAGCGACATGGGTTGCGGTACAATCCTTGGTCATTGCTTTAGTACTGGCAAGTTGCAATTTTCGAGACCAAAGGGGACTCGAGCCCGGGACCCCTTGGCGCGACCCACGAGATCTTTCAGGCCCAGCTCCAAGTTTAAAATGAAACGGTTTACTGCGCGTTCGCGCGTCCGATGCGCACAGCCCCGACTACAAGAGTATCAAAAGCCCACGCTTTTTTTGCACATCGACCACGCCGATCCCTGCAAACCATACCAATTTCGCTCAGCGCGCTCGGCTTGCCACGCCGCCTTAAGAGATTTCTTCTGGATTGCCAGCACAAACTCTAGTTCCACAGTTCTGCACTGCTTCATGGTACACGAGAGCCATCTACGCGTATGTCTCACGTGTAATCACGGTGTAGCATCTCTGTAACATTTGCAGGTGCTATCCCACCCAAGAGCTTCCTGGTAACCTTTCTAGGTAACCGGCCCTTTGCCATGTTTCCAGGAACCAAGCTCGGTTCCCAAAACAGAAGGAACCAGATTCCAAGCTCACGGTTTTCACAGTACCCGCCCATTTCATGTTTCCGGCCATCTATATTTCACAGTTCCGCCCCCTATTGTGTGTCCCTTGTTGTGGTTCTTGGAACCACCGAAAAATAGGTAACCAAGTTGGTTACCGATATACAGGTAACCGGAAGCAAATGTAGCCACTGCTCCAAACCTCTACGCAACTCACTTTCTAGGTGATATCTCAAGCGCAATTACAGAGTAAGATCTCTGCGCGACTCACCGTGCAATTTCTCTGTGCCATTTGGTGTTTTCCTGTCTCTGTCGCTCTGGGCGCTGTCTCTCTTAGCAAGAATCTGTGTCGGCATGTATCTCAGTGGAATCTGACAATTTCAACGAAAGAACCCTTCGCAATGCTTTCGGGAAGAAAACGGGGGTCAAGTGAGGGTTGCTACCCAGCCACTTGGCATTTCTTCCTGGCCCGAGCTCCGAAACCCATTTGAAACCCTTGAGTGTTGGATGCACCTTGGATACCAGGTACTCCTGGATTGGAGTGCCCTCTAAAAAGGTCAACCACTGTGACCATGGAGCCCTAAAAGCGGCGCAAGCCTTACCATTCATCTTCCCAAAAGTTGCTGGTAAATGCCCAATTTTAAAACCGGTCTAGAGGGCTCTTTTGGGTGGGATCTCTTCACGACTCGCAGTGGAAGCATTTCAGACGGTGCTAGTTGAAATGCCATCCAAAACGCGGGTGGGCCAAACGACACGCCATCCCTCACAAACCGTCAAGGCCCAAGGTTGGAGCTTATAGACAAAACTTCACGGAAATGATCTCTTTGCACAGCCCAAATCCAGCAGAAGCCTTTGGCCTTCTCTGAACCCAAGACTCCAACCTTTTTGGGATGCGACATGAAGTTCGAAGCATGTGAGTTAAAAGCGGGGGCCAAATAAGGCAATGTCCCTTCCCTCTACTGGGTTGGATCATAAGCCTCGGGACCTGCACGTGAGGCGTGTGCCCCAGTGGCGTGCGCCTTGGAGCGAAGTCGAAATGGGAGTTGCGCTTTGGATCGTTGTACTGCGGTTAGTACTGCGGTCCATTGGTTCCTGCGAAACAAGCCATTTGGATCGGCCGTCCATTGATATCAAGGGCAACTCCCACACTGCTTTGGATAATCTTGATTGGTTTGCGTCCAAGTGAACGTGTTTTGTATCATCAGAGGGGCCGTGTTCTTAAAATTGGTGGGCGATGTAAGAAGAACGTCAGTGCAGAGAGCTGGTGGGAATCTGACTTTACCTTTCCCAGCAACAAATCCGGTTGACTGGGGTGGGGTTGCCTGGAATGAGACGGAGATCGCCTGGGCTCGTTTGCCTACGGTAGCTGTGGGGTTGCTGAGAAAGCCTGGTTTTGCCTGGATTGAGGTTGGCACTGCCTGGGGCTGCCTGTTTGGTTGCCAAGGGGTCGCCTGGGGTTGACTGGGTTGGTTGAGGCGCCTTCGTCCAAATTGGCCATGGGCGATTTCATTCAAGCCTTTGATTTTCTCATGAACCCGCCCAGGAATCGTTTTTTAGTCCCAGGCATGCCAGAAGGTCCTGGGGAGGAAGCGAACATGTTACCTGCCGAATCCTGCAAGTGTTCGGAAAATGCGGCCGTTCTAGGGTAACTTCCCAATCCATTCTTCGCCCAGAAAATCCGAATGCGTTCAGAAAGCCACTACAACACGATTGGGGGGCAGGTGTTTTGAGTGCTCAGCTTCCTGGTTTGGGTTCTC